TGGTGCTGACGGATCACATGGCTACCAAAGAATTTGATTTGATATGTAAGGTTTAACATCCAAAAAACCACCATATGATTATGAGAGATGCCGTAGTGGAGCACTCCGAAAATTTAGACCACCTGGGGTTCTTCAACGTGCACCAATATCTGAGCACACAGGCCTACAGCATTTTCGCCTCCATCGAAAATGCAGCCACCACAGCCGGGATTCAGTTTCGCGACCTGCGGGTCAGCAACAGAGTACCTTAGCCACTAGAGCACGGTGGCGGGGCCGGCTACCAAAGAATTAGGTCTTGGTGTAAACAGTTCGGTCCCACTCTATGTAGAATTAGTGGAAAGTGCGTGCAAATACAGAAACTTAGGGGTTCTAAGGTAACTATAAAAACAACTTTTGAGAGAATTTTGGCCAAAAATGCTTTGTTGCCGTCAATGGCGTAGCCAGAGAAAGAATTTAGAGGGGACATCAAGCCCAATACACGAGATTTTTTCCCTTTTGAAACTTTCACACACACAAGTACAAATTAAAATTTCTACTCCCACTCCTTCAACCTCAACCCGAAATAAATTGAGCAGGCAAAAGCATATATATCGAACGTTTGTGCAAGTAGCTCTTGCATAGGTGTAGGCATATATAGTTGCTGACAAGTAAAATGATATGATGATCACGCTGTCCGACCACGAGTCAATCTGGACAGGACAGTAACCAATCAATTTGATGATCAAATTCTCTGACACCACTACAGGACGTAGACCTCTCCCATGTTGCTCTTGTTAATTCGGGGCAGTGCTTAATGCAGCCAAGTTATCCCCGCAAATTTCCTAATTCTCATCTTCTCACCTAACTCCTCCCACCCCGCATGAAATAAATGCTGCCCAGTAGATTATACCCTCCCTACATTCCTGCAAAATGAAAAAAGAGGTTATGATGTGGCAGCTATAGAATAATATCAGGGTCAAACGACGATCAGCGTTGATTACAACAAAGCGTTGTCCAGATTGAATGTTATGACTACAAATAGCGGTCTTTCGCAAGTGATACCAATCGCGACAGAGATTCAATTCAGTTCATCATGTAAAAATATGCAAGCTAGCTCTCTTTCAGCACTTCAATGGTGAAAAAAAAAAAAGCGTGGCTGAACCCTCAATCTAGGAATCGTTATATCAGCTAGGAAAGTAAAACGTGTTGTCACAGAGGCGGTTGAACGTTTATTATGCATTGTTTCGACACATGGATGAAGTAACAAATGCAACAGCAACAAATTGCGAAGTCATACGAAGAACGGCACGCAGGGCGAAATTTTTAGTGCGCACCACAAGCAGAAAGTGCGTACGGAATTAGAATACACAAGACGAGCGCGGGCTAACAACTGTCGCAGCTCGACACTTAAAGCGCACTGTTCAAACAGAAAGACGCACGGAACAAATACACACGTATACACAGGACAAGCGGGAACAACAGTCATATTTCTTCCAGTGTGAGCAGCGCGCTCCTTTCATAAACGCAGCCGCGAGTGAAGTGACCTTTGCGCTCTCCCGAATCACGAGTCTGATACGCGGTGCGCACGAAAGTCCACGCTCTGTGGAGGCGGGGCTCATTGAAACACTAAAGACGAGTTTCAGAGCACGCCAAGCGCGAGGTCCTCGGATCATCTTGCTACAGATGAAGGAAATGTGCTGAAGTTGCGGAGCTCTGAGAACCTCCAAACGGTGTATGTTGTATAAAAATGTCTTGCCATTAAAGTTCTAACAATGTATGTTCTGAGATTGATTGATTTGTGGGGTTTAACGTACGAAAACCACCATATGATTATGAGAGACGCCGTAGTGGAGGGCTCCGCAAATTTCGACCACATGGGGTTCTTTAAAGTGCACCCAAATCTGAGCAAACGGGCCTACAACATTTCCGCCTCCATCGGAAATGCAGCCGCCGCAGCCGGGATTCGAACCCGCGACCTGCGGGTCAGCAGCCGAGTACCTTAGCCACTAGACCACCGGGGCGGGGCTATCTAGTGCTTCTTTGTTAAGCATTGCCAAGTTTGTTTTTTCTCCTGTTCAACACAGCTTTTCAAGCTACCCTTTAAACACTACTCATCACAAACCTGCATTTTTTCCTATGAGTCTAGTTTTGTTACGAAAATCTGTAATTAATCGCATGTGCTGCAATACAAGCACACTTCCATGGCTGTTGCACGCACAGTCCATACAATTCTCAATAAGGAACTTCCTGCATGGTATGCTCAGTGAAGCCTTTCCTAATCATGGTAATTTTCATTGATAACAACCACATGCATGCACACAGGCTTTTTTTTAATTGCCCCAATGTTCTGTGTAAAAAAAAGTCCATATACTGCCAAGCATGTCTATTCTCCATTTGCGAGCGAAAGCGCGTCAGCACTGCTGAGCAATCTTGACTAAAGGGGAGAGGAAATGCTAGTATTTCACACGAGTGGAGCAAAGGGTACCAAGAGGGCCAATTTGGCTTCGAAAGAAAATGCCTCCACCAGTCGAAAGTGGCTGGCCACACACCATCTTTACAGGGATTAGGAGATGAGGAGATGAATCAAACCTTTAAATGTGCTCTTGCTATCGCAAAGTTTTAGTTGAAAACATAGCAAAAAGGCCGCGTCACTCGCTGCATTGGCCGCATTTTTTTATGCGCACATTTTTCAGAGTTATGTCAGGTCACAGGCTAAAATAGCAACCTGCCAGCCTCACTTATTATATTATTCCAATTTTTTGCTATCACGTTCGTAGCACACTCTTAATGCTAAACTCATTTTATCTCAGCTGTTCACTCCACTTACTAAAAAGATATGTATTTCCAATGCCTAGTGAACTGAGGTGTGGCTTCTATAAGTATCGTAATACTCATAAATTATTTCTCGTTTTTGGAAACAAAATGAAACTGGAATTACTTTTCTAAAGTTCACCATAACCTTTAAGAGGTAACTTAATAGTGTGGCAGTTTGAGCTAGTTGGTATGACATGACGATAGTTATCGCGCGAGAACAGAACGACGACAAAAACAAGTCATTCTTGTCTCTTTGTCGTCGTTCTGTTCTCGCGCTATATCTATCATCTTTAAAAGATACCACAGCCACTCAGAATGTATATGTTGTGTGATATAGCAGGAAATAAAACACCTCTTATTTAGAGTGATGTGTAATTCATGTTTTCTACACATTCCCAGAGGCAATTTCAGCAATTTAGAGCAATGTTTATTTCTGAGGAGGAAAACATGTTTTTGGTGCAGTATCGAGTCAAGCAATTCGAACCAAGCACCATAGAGTTTCCTAAAATTAACTAGAGGGCACTCAGGCGATGTGATCATTCGGCGACCATGGGAATGATGGGTAGTACGCACATTTGCCTAGTCTTCGTACTTGCAGGCGACGAATTGTACTTGCGGCTTCATTCAATGCGGTGTTTCGGTTTTGGTTTGAAATAAAGCTTCAAACCTTTTGAACTTCGAGACCAAATTTGGAAAAATAAGTCTAAAATATTGAGGTGGTGAAGCACAATCACTGAACATTTGCTGATTTTTGTTTCGTGAGAAAACAGCTTCAAGACACACGAACACACACTGAGCCAAAATCAGGCCAGAAGTACGAAGTTTAGACAAATGTGTGTACTAACCATCATTCCCATGCTCGCTGAAGCACCGTGCGTTGCAGCTTCCATAGACACTAGCGCCAGAGTTCCCTCTAGTGTATATTAAGAAACTCTATGCCAAGCACACAGCAAATAAACACTCAGAAACACATCCTTATGCCTCACGCATTACATAAATTTTCAGTTACGTGACAAAACGCTGCGACGCCAAAGACAAATTTTATGGCGACTTCTATTGGGAGAGCAGGAGCACTCTATAGTACGCTGAAAGTGCTCTCTTCAGAGCTGGCGTGTTTCAGTGGTCGAACAGGTGCAGGTTCACTGTCATCCATTGGTAGAGCGAGAGCACTTTCGCTGCGTCGAGAGCAGCCAAGAGCAGTTTGTAGTGCTCTCGCCTGAAAAGCAGAGTAGGCACAGTACGACGAGTCACGTGGCCTTTGAACGTTGCAGTCTCCAAATTTTTGTCCAGCCGGCAAGTGCGGAGTCAACAGCAGCAACCATGTGTAGTTTGACAGTGCTGTTTTGTACAAATGGCTACGGTTACAGCTGGACATCTGCCGACTGCGTCTTTGAACAAGCACCCTAGGTATTAGGACAATGAAGAACTTTTGGCTGATCGATTTCTCACATATTTTGCTGCTGCCCCACAGAGAATATGCAGAGGCTTAGAATGTTTCGATAGCTGTCGTGGTAGCTCAGTGGTAGAGCATCGAACGCATCATTTGAAGAATGTTTCGATCACATGGTCTTCGCACTCATTACCCCCTTCACCTGCCCTCCGGGAGCGCGCCGCATTCCCGTCGCAGGTTGAGTGGCCCTGCTCTCAGTGCTCTGCCCTCCACTTCTCACTGCCCGGCCCCCATACTCCTGTTCTCTCAGTGGAATTTGCCATTAGTAAATTACCCTTCCACATTACTGAAAGCTTGATGCTTACAGCAAAAGGAAGCTTGGTGAGAAAACATACAAAAGGAAAATGGTTGTGGTGGCACCACCTTGCAAGTTCCCACATGAACCTTCTGTGACGTCATACATGTTGACGGAGTCTAATGCAGCCGTCACAATTTTCTATTCATAAAAATGACGTGCACTGTCCCCTAGGGAAGGCCAGAAGCTTTCCGCAAAAAGCTACTAGAACTTTCATTCACTCAATGTGGCCCACACACCAAAATGCCTCGAAAAATGTGGCATCACACTTACATTTGTGCAGAAAGATTTCAGCGTAAAATTTTCAAACTTTTTTACCACTGTTTCTTCTTTCATTACTGAACCTGTTCAGTCGAACATTCTGCATGAGTTCCCGTAATTGCATGTCAAGTATATAGGTCGCTATGGAAATATATTGCGATTGGATGGAGTCCACGTTTAGCCAGTAAAATTGTGAAGAAATGAGGGCGCACAGAACAGTTTTATTAGAATATGTTGATAAACTTCACGAGTCAAAAACAAAATAATTTGTCACTTCAAATAGAGTCATTTCCTTTTACTGCCCCTCTGCAGAGCAACAGCAAAGATCAAGCTCTTCATTTTCAAGCCCTAATACTACAATGCTATGCACACACACTGCTACACAATTAAAGATTAGAGCAGCAAAGCAACAATTACGAGCTAATTACCCGGCATGGCTTGCACGAATGCACACATAATCTGATGAAACACTGTACTTTAAAAATAAGCCTGTAGAGTTCTACATCCCCGCATACAGACTTATGCGGCCCTGCTGAAAATTGCTTCTTTAGTACTTAGTGGGAGGCCAAAACACACAAAAAAGGAACACGTTTATATCAACACCCAAGATCAACAACTGTACCAAAAGTGTGGCAGCTTGGGCTAGTTGGTATGGCATGACGATAGTTATAGCGCGAGAACAAAACGACGACACAGAGACAAGAAGGACATGAAAAGCTTTGCTAGACATACACAACAGGAAATATCTGTCGCAGTTAGCCAAATAATAAAATCAAAACTGGTGTAGCATTCCGAGGAGCACAACAGTTCAATCGCCCATGCTGGAATTGATTGTACCACACAGACATATACTGATTGCCGTTTTGCTTGCATAGTCCCTTCTTGCTTGCCAGAAAACATCCAACATGCACATGCAATACAGGTGCAATTCAATAACAAAAACTCTTACGATTTCTTACTGATACCAGTATGTGAAAGGAGCCCATTTAATGAATATCCGATACCAAAAAGTATCATTTAACGAAACCAGAAGGGATCAAGAAAATGTGTTCCATTTAAAAGGAGCTCTGTCAAGAGAGAGACAAACACCAAGCCAGAAACCAACCATGAAAGAGGCAGCTGTTCCTTTAAGGCAGGTATTCCGTTAAAAAGATTTCTACTTTTGAAAGTACATTACATAAGAACACGCTGTTGTTAAAACCAGACGGTATTGTATACTGGCTTTCAGCAAGACCTCGCGCATCGCGTTTCTAGCGAGTACAAGCTGCACAGCAAGTAGTATATACAATTGCTGCCTCTATTCGCTAAACTGCTTTCTCATCAGCAAGCGACCCCACACATTTCAAAGGAGTGCAACAGAGCCACACATTGTCTATAACTGAACCCACCTGATATCAGACAACTATGATGAAAACTGTACAATGCGCTGCCTTTGAAGAAAACAAGAGGTTACAACACCTTACACAACACAAGTCATGCCATTTCATGAGACCGAGATAATAAAGCCTTAAACAGGCGCGAACATTGTGTTGACTTCTGATATATCTTAAAAGGATTCTCACCAGTGTTGCGGAATGAGTACTTCCATTCCATTCTGGGGAATCGGAAATTGCCGTACTTCCATTCATTTCAATTCCTTGGAATAAAATAACTTAACCGAATGGCTGGGCAGTTCAATTGCATTTGTGTTGTTCCTCAATGTAGGAAAGACATCTTGATAGTTTTATCAAGAATGAACCTCCTATAAGGTTGCGGTCATCACATTCAGCGGTATTCATTGTGGAGAAAAGTAAGATTTGGTTAATGAAGAACAAAACCTTCCAGATGTGCTTGTATTCGTTGGAACAGTGCATCGCTCAGGTAAAAGGCACTGTGTGCTTTTGCATTGAATACAGAAAACTGAGCTGCACTGCTAGTCAACACTCCCACTTTTCAAGCGCACCTCGCAAGCATGAATGGGGTGAAGAGAACATTCCCTGTGTTCACCTGTGCGCATGTATACAATGTCTTCGTTGTCACGAAGGTTATTCACACGTGTCGGGTACTTAACTGCTCGTAAGATAAAGATCAGGCTATGCATAGAGCATTCGCCACTTCAAAGCACGGGTATAAATGGGAAGCAATGTGCGGGATAATATCTGCTGGGATAATAAATTTTGCTGTACACTAGCTCATGCCATGGTTTCTCTTTTGCCGTTTGGCAGATCATAGACACTTTTACACCACACCTACCATAGGCTGACTGATTAAAACGTACGTAGAGAGTTCGTCGAAAAAACAAGTACTCGGGCTTACATGACTAAATTTGAGCATGATACTACACCAGTAGCAATTAAGGGTATAGCAAGATACGTTTCTCCTCAATGCCCACTTTGCCTGGAGATACAAACAATTGTATATGCCGAGTCGTATCGACCGAGCAAACAAAAAATGCAAAGGAAAAGAATCACGATAATAATCAAACGATCTCACCCCAGAGCAGTGAGGGTGCAGGCTGACCAGCTCTCAACTCGACAAGACCTGACCTCCCGGGCTAGAGCAGTAGCAGTCACTCGCAGCTTTTTAAACTTAAAGAGACCTCACAGACCTTTACCGATTCAGTATTGGGCAAAGGCGCTCATGTATCTATACAGGGGAGACATTATTGCAAAGTGGTTGGGGTAGTGGAGTATGAGGTGAGACGGCACGCAAGCTGGTATACGAAAGCTTGCGGTGAACACAAGCATTCCGCCATCATCAATATGCATAATAACTTATAGAAACGCTTTGTCAAGTACACATCCGAATCGCCGACAGTGACGGAAGAAAAATTAAAGAAGGGGGATGAGGAGACAACAGGTTGGGGCGCAGCTGAGGAGAAAGGGTCACTAGGCGCAACGGGTCGATAGTTATGGCGCCACCGTAGTTCTGCACGATGGATACCAACGGCATAGAGCCGTGGTAACACGAAGACAAACTTCGGTGCAACACAACTTATAAAATTAATTGCAGTAGGCATGTTGCCTATTAGCAACATGCTTACAAGCGATTTAAAAAATACTGCTTTATTATTAAATTTGAGGCTCTGACAAATGTCCAGAAAACTAAAAAAGAGTGTGTAGACAAAAACATGCTCGATTTAAGAAAAAAAACGTAATTACATTTTCGTTCCATTCTGTGCAAAAGGCGCTTACAATTTCATTCCCATTCTATTCCAAGGTCGTGAAAATGTGGAATGATTCCAGATTATTTCTAATTTCGGAGTGGAAATTCCGCAACATTGATCTTTACTACACTTCAAAGCACACAGTCAGAAAAACGAGTGATACACACACACACGGCTAAGACACAAAATGATGAAGATGAAGTGATCACGCAAGTGAGGTTTGACGAGCACGTTCTGATGACAATTTACAAGATCACTGCCTCTTTCTCAAACAGCTGTGGCGGCATCGAGCAACTTAACGTCATTGCAGTGCCGACAATAACTCTGTAAAATGACCTCAGACTACAATAAACATTGAAAGCTTACCAAACATGAATATGCAACGGTAAGTGTAGGTGAAACAAGAGTAATTTACAAATTTGCCCCAGTATCCCTCACCCCTCCCGCCAGGAATGACCACACCGTTGCCAGACCCTCTCACAATAGATCTCTCACTTGGTCTCTGAGCGAGCTGAGCACTTTGTACTGACTGTCCGCGTTGCCCACATTGTGGCACACTTCCTGTAGCAACACAGCGACGAGTTTCAGCGTGCTCTGCCGGCGCAGCTGCCAGTTGTCGATTCGCTCAGTGTCGTCGACCATCTCTACCCTGTCCAGGAGGTCATGTAACGCCTCGACGCTGTCGATGGTGCTCGGCACCATCGTGCCACATGGCAGCAGGCTCAGGCGCGTGCCCTCGATGGCCACCATCACCGACATGTCCGGAGACACTGTCACCGACCGGGTGATGTACGGCATGGGTCGGTGCACGATGTGGACAAAGTTTACTGACCTGTTGCTTAACGTCTTCAGCCAGAAGCTGGAAGTGTCCACTTCCATCATGTCCATGACTGTGAGCTTTTTCTTCTTCTTCTTCTCGACTGGCAAAGAACCCTTTGAGAGAGTTCGCTTCTTCGGGGTGCCTCCGGTGTTCTTAGACACGGCGCACGTTTTGGCGGGGCTTAGAACCTTGGCTGGTGTCTTCCTCTGAAACAAAGACACCACTGCCTTGCCTGTGTTGCTGTAAAGGACGGACTCCACTTCTGGTGACAGTGCATCACTGGATGCTCCCTGTGTAAATAAAAGAAATAGTACGCCGTCATGCTTGAGAGCTTAAGAGCCCTATCCGTTCTGCATGTGTAGAGGTAACATGCAATGTAAGTGAAAGAGCTTCTGTGCATGAGATCCAGAGTGCATACAGAAAGCGACAACACTCAAGGAGTCTCACGACAAGTTCTGCAGAAATCGGCAAGCTTTGTGGAAGAGGCCTACCAAGTTGTCTCTCAACATGCTCTTACCAACTCTGTGGTTAGATTTTGTTGTAGGTAATAATTTTTCTTACCGATCCACTATATACTGAGATTTTGTTGTAGGTAATATTTTTTCTTACTGCTCCATCATATACTGAACTTTACAGCAGTACAATCAATCTATTGCTTCGCCTTTATGATTTACTCTTAATTAGAGGGTGTAATCATACTACGTCTTATCTATCGAAACAGCAGTACTTGTAAGTAAAAAAAATTGCAGTTTCGCCTCGAGGTCACCACAATGAATGCGATAGCAACAAGTTGAAATGCCACGTGAAGAGCGGCAAACAGCTCTAATTGTGCAGCACGCTACTCAAGGACAAAGGACACGCGAAAAAGTCACACACAAGGTAAGTGCAAACTAACAACGTTTACAGCTCAACACTTAAAGGGACACTAAAGGCAACTATTAAGAGGACGTTGATTGTTGAAATAGTGGTTCAGAAACCTCGCAGTGTTACTTTTGTGCTAAGAAAGTGCTTATTTTAAAATAAAATCACGTCTTTAGTAGTCTGCATCGAGTTAGCGCACCTCAAATTACCCGCCTCAAGCAGAACGTCTCACATCACTGCTGCCGTGCACAATGTTGCGCGGCTTTACTGCATGGTTTCCGACACTAGTAGCAGCAGAAGGAAAGTAGCGGGAGCCACAGCAGCAACAACTAGCATTGAAACATTACCTGCAATGGCCTCTGAGATGGCAGACGTGCTTGGTTCAACTGGGCCCCGCTAGATGGCACGACCTGTCCAGAATAACCAAGCGAAAATGGAACTTTTGAACAACTCATGCCATTCCCCACAACAACATACGGCGGTTCTTTTTTCCATGAATCAAACATAAACAAGCAGTGTTTTATTACATCTCTTGATGCATGGAAGGTTCTTTATTTAGTGCAGCTAGTTTGATTACTAGTGATTAATTGTAGGTGGTTGGTCTGACGTCATCGGGATCATTTTGGAAATGTCCTACAGTGGCGCATGCATTCTTGTGCATTTGCCTTAATTTCCTGGAAAGTAGGCCACTGCTGTGGATAATATTGTCGTTTTAGACGTCATACATTGAGCTTTCACTCTGATGTAAATTGTCATTGAACTTCAACGTCCCTTTAAAGTACCCCTGACAGCAATAGCTTTGTGGCTTCTTTGTCATCACTGGTAGTGTTGTCTTTATAATTCCGAAATTTAGTCATAAATACTCGAATACATCATATAATTAATGGCACCATTGTTAACTCAGAACTATTTTGCATCAATTTGAAATGTCCGCCTGAATACTAAAAGAAACGAGCACCCCAGAGCAGGGAAACGCCTGAGACCATGTGCTCTTGGGCTTTGGTGACGCTGAACGCGTTTTTTTCAAGTCGAGAGACCTGCGCGTGGTGAAGAATGAAACGAACTGGGCGATTTAAGCATGTCCATCTCAGAAAAAAAATTACAGCATATCCACAAAGTGAATGATGATGAGTGGGGCGAAGCATCCGTCAGTTCGTCCATGTTTCTGTCAGTCTGTTTCTTCTTGCTTCTGTCCGTACATGCGTCCATCAATCCGTGCATCCGCCTGCGCGCGCGTCAGACAGACAGACAGGCGATGGACGGATGTGGCCAGCGGATGATTCACAGTTTGCCGTTAAAACCCTCTGAAGCTTCGCCCAACTCATCATCATTCACTTCATGAATATGCTGTGAAGTGGTTACTACATACATGCAGGCAACGACCAACCCATGCCTTAAGAAGCTTCCCTATAAAAAAAAGCACTTTTGGTGTAAGCAGCCAAAACAACCTTGGGAGCAAGCTGACAACAGAGCGAGTGGGGTGACGAACAACAGTGCTCGCTGAATGCCAGTCGGGGTATTGTACGCGCCCCGTGAATGTTTTCAGTATGTGTATGCGAAAATTCGAAATTTCATTATTTTTCAAATGGTGCTTGGTATTTGATTCACGCACTGAAGTTTCACTATTTGAACATCGCAAAGCCACATACAGTGAACATTCCTTTATATATGACTCAAAATTTCAATGTGCTTGACCTCATCCCATTCTCGTATTGCAACAAAGCTGCCTTTCACGCTCTGCCACAGTCGAAGTTTTTTAAAACACAGTCAACGTCCAATTAAAAGAGACCCCTTCAGATTTTAAATATGCTTCAACACATCACACTTTCGAATTACTGCAAAGCTACCTTTCACACTACACTATGGTCACACATGCATTGACTCGAGCAATTGCTTGTTCCAACATGAAGCTGAGAGATAAGGCAGAAGTGGAGGCTAAACTAATCTGTTGAGGACCTGAAATTTGGGCAACAATTGCAAAAAATCGGAAGCCAAAAATATTTAGCATCCAAAATTTCAGATGAAGATAGCATCATTGCCAACATGTGTGAAATGTTGTAAGCAATACTTTGGTTGCACCAAATCATGTACACAAATATAACTCAGCCTCTGCATTGCCTCATCCTTGATAGCACAACTATGAAACACCATGCTGCCAGGGCTTCATCAACCTGGCCAAAAGAAACACTTTCATGTTGCTATCTTACAGGAATTAGCTTATGAATAGTCTCCAACTTTTTTTTTACTTTTGCTTCAAAACACTCAAGAAATGTTTTAAATTATTCATAAAAAGTTATAGAAATGTTCCAAAAACATTTTATTCACATTGCATTTCCAATTCAGAATTTTAATTCACTTCAAACCCAAAATTTTGCAATTGCACAGCTCTAAAAATATACCCACTGCATTTTGATGCACCACTATGCCATTGGCTTCTGAAGAGCAATGTGTTTATTCAGAGTGACAGTATAAAAACTCCTGAAACTTCTATCAGTACTCCTTTAGGCTACGTATTTCAGGCATTCGAAGGAACTGTCTTACACGGCTGTCACCACTGAAGAGTGTAAAATGAAATGAAGTGCCATCCCCACAAACCTCTGGGGCAACTGTGGCCCTGAAGATGGATGGAACAGCAGTGCCGCTCATTAGGTTTCCAGAACCTGGGTCGCCGTCGGTGAAGTCGTCGGGTCGGAAGTGGTCAGAGCAGATGACAGTCGTTGATGCTGGCAACCAGCCTGCACGACCGATTGCCTTTGCCCACTGTTTTTTGATAGCTGTGCTTCTGGGAAACCTGCAAGCAATACAACGTCGCGTACCTTTGTCATGAATGATTGGCACATTTTGCTATTCCAAGGCAGTACAGAGATAAAGATTGCGCATATGGAAGCCAACCACAGGCAGTGATTGCGAGGGGGTGGCAGGTGTCACTGCTTATAATATACCACCTGCAAAATTCGTAGTATCCCAGTAACACAATGCCTCAAGGCGGAAGCAGGTAGGCCGCCCTTTCATTTTAAAGCCTGCCCAGAGCACACATACCCTTATTTCAGGAGGTAAAAATGCTTTATTAGAGGAGTCCTGACAGCGAAATATTTTTATTTGATTTTTCAAGTCTAATTTCAGCTTAGTCTGGTCACAGTTGAACTAGAAAGGTACACGAGCGTTCATACTTATGGCCTTTGCAATGCATTCGTTTTCATCTCCCACTGCAACACCATATTGTCGCTATTACCCTGCCATTGCTGGCAGTGGCGTTCGCAACTGCAATCCATGCAAGAAGTCACAGCTTTGCCGCAAAGGTGGAGCAATGAACGCGACAGCAACAAATTCGAAGGTCACGCGCAAAATGGCAAGCCGATCGAAACGTGCCCCGCGTTTATCACACACAATGACGCACTAAACGTACTCACAGGTACAGATGAATGCGAATTGTCTCAGTTGTTACTTTGCTGTGTCTGAAAAGCGTGCCCTATTCGCAAACAGAGGCTGTGCAACGATTGCAGTGACCTTTGTACACCCCTGTGATGTGTGGTGCGCGTTCAAAGTGCGCGCCTTCGAAAAGTGCGCGTCACGGAAAAAAAAAAAAACAAAAGGAGAAATACCAGAGTGCACGTGCGGTGCTGCTTAAACAAGAATGACGACGTTAAAGAGCGTCAAGCACGAGGATGCGTGGCAGGACGTGAAGTAAACAAAAGGTAAAACATCCAATGGGCAGCGAACACGGAGATTTCAAGGCCCAATGGCTTGACACCACGAAACAGCAGTATCTCCAATGAGAACGAGACAAGTGGGCCAGAGCTGAAGCAGGAGCCTGGGCAGACCAGAGCAAGGGGAATTCGAGGCAGGCAGTGCAAGCGGAAGGTCGTCACCGGACCGGGCGCTGAAGATGGGCCGTTGGGTTCCGGACCCGAGCCTACAGGACTTCCACCGGCCGGGGCCTCCTGCTGTCGGGTTCCCGCTCCAAAGGACCGTGGCCATCCGGTCCTGAACTCCTTTCCAGAGCCTGCGGACTTCGGTTCCGGCAGGCGAGCTACAGCCGTCGGGCTCCGGGCCCGAGCTGTGCGCCCAGCTGCTTGACTAGGTCGACCCTAGTTCCCGGACGCGTCGCCACCAGCCTGCGTTCTCCCGTCTCCGACGTGTCCACGCTCCTCAAGCCGAAACCATCACGATTTGGTAGGGCTTTTCGACGTGTCGCCAGCAGCCAGCGTTCCCTCGTCCTCGTCCAGCCCACGCAGTGACGCAGGAGTCACGGCGTTCCGGTTTCTCATCACCGCCGAAAACCGACTTGTGGGTGAGACTGCACCGATACTCTTGCGCTACTCCCATCACTCAGCCCCTTTCGAACGTTAGGTTTAGTTACTGACTTTGAACGTTCTTGTTGGGTGTTTACAGATGTGGTTCGTCATGTCCAGTCAACTGTTTATTAAGTGTTTTGTTTTGTGAGGAATCTTTGCCTTTTTACTTTTCAATTAAACTTTTTGTGTGTTTCTTGGAAACCGAACGGCTTTGTCCTTATTAACAAAACTCTCTGAGGCTCAGCCCGGGAGAAAAACAAATCAGCAACAAGACCCCGCATCACAAATTGGCGTCCGCTGCGACAGGACAAAGTCGTTTGTTTTTCCAGTAGATTTTTTGACGCGGTTAACACGATGACGAACACGTGGGAGTTAATTGAGTTGGCGGATAAAATGGGACTGACGGGAGCGGAGTTTAGAGTATGGTACGAGGAGCGGATGGAGAGGGAGCGTGAGCAACGGGCTGCGATATGTGACGCTAAAAAGCAGCAGATTGCATTGCAAACACACGCTAAGAGAGAGGAGTTCGAGCGAGAAACACGGGCTAGGAGAGAGAAGCTCGAGCGAGAGACACGCGCTAAGAAGGAGCAGCTTGAGCTAGAAATGCGTGAAAAGAAAAGGCTGCTCGAGATAGAGATGCGCGAAAAGAAGAGACTGTTGGAACTAGAATATGAGGATTTGCAGCAGTGGCTTGAGAGGGAAAACGCTGAATATACGTGGTCTGAGAGCCAGAGTAGTCAACCAGTGGATGAGGTGTGCTCTGAAAGCAGTTACATCGGGAGCGATTTGAATTTACGTGAGACTGACCCTGTACCTCGTCATGACCTTTCGCTAGAGAAAGAAACTCTGAAAGAGTATGACAGGGAGGTAAACAGTCAAAAGACTAGGAGACTCGATAAGCTTATTGAAGCGCAGGAATGCTTCGTGAGCATGGAACAAGAACGTTCCATTCAGAGTAAAGGGTATTTTGAAACCTGTGAGAGGTCAAGCGCACTTTATTCAGAGGTAGGATTGCCTCTGAATAGCTCCGCTGAAGGAGCGATAAAAGGTCTCCTAGGTAATGCCGGCGAATGCCATAATGAAAGCTCTGATGTAGCAGCTACCTATTGTTTTGGGCCACTGGAGATAGCAACAGACGCTACGGACATGGTTTTTCACCATGATTATAACTTGCCCATACAGAGAGATGGCTTGTGTTCTCGGGAAATTGTAGATGATGCTTTTAGAAGAATATTGGAGCAAAATGCAAAAGCACTTGTTGAAGAACAGAGAGTAGAGTTGCGATGTAGGTCAGCTATATGTGACAATGAGGGTAATCACGATGACCCAGGCAGAAGGGTTGAAAGTATTGATGAACAAGCAATACAGAAAGCTGAAGGGATGGAAAGTGAACCAGAAGGCAGTAATGGTCCAGCAGGTTATTGTACGAGGAAGGACGCCGACTGGTGCTCTTTGGCATCTTCGGTTGAAGAGGTCGCTTCTGTTAAGATGTCTCAACGATTAGCGGCTTACGAGCTCAAGCAAGGCGTTCGTGGGAAGGATGAAATGATTCAGGCGTGGTTGTACTGGTGCGCCTGGAGGCAACGCCTCCGACTGGCATACAGACATTCCAGCGTGTATGCTTGTGATTTCGAGGTTGGGAACCTGGTGATACACAGCTTTAGGTTCATACGAGCTTACGGTCGAGAATTCTTCCACTGGCTTCCGATTCCTTACTCTTGTCAAATGGTTAGAGCAGTTAAACGTCTTGTACGGGACGCTATAACTTAAGCGTCAAATTCGATTTCCCGCTGGTTTCTTTTGGATCTTGCTTGCGGACCATGGAAGGGTGTTGCTTGTAAATATTTGAAGAAGTTACATGCAATGTAACATTAACATGATGTATAGTTTTTGAGATGATAGGGTATATATGATAAAAAAAAAAAAGGGGTGGTGTACTACTAATTTGGGGATTTTCACAATCCGCTAGATGTGTCCATACTTTTTCTCACTTCTTGCGTATTTTGAGGTTAGTGAATGTGGACCTTTGGGCAATGCAGTGAACTGTGTGGCGGACATATGTGGGTAAATTGTGGTGCAGTGCGAAACGTGCACTCAACGGCAGTTTTTTTTTCTTCTCGAAAAAAAAAAAAAAAAAAACTTTTCTTATTGTTGTTGGTTGAATGTTACGTTCTGTGGACTCGGTGTTTCGACGCGAGACATGTCAACGAAGAAGCAGTGTGGTGCCATCGGTGTGATGTGTTGAACTGCGTGGTGCAAATATGTGGTGTAATTGTGACGTAGTGCAGAACGCGCACTCATCGGCAGTTTTTTTTTCTAAAAAAAAAAAACTTGAATGAAAGGGGGGCGTATGTGATGTGTGGTGCGCGTTCAAAGTGCGCGCCTTCGAAAAGTGCGCGTCACGGAAAAAAAAAAAAAACAAAAGGAGAAATACCAGAGTGCACGTGCGGTGCTGCTTAAACAAGAATGACGACGTTAAAGAGCGTCAAGCACGAGGATGCGTGGCAGGACGTGAAGTAAACAAAAGGTAAAACATCCAATGGGCAGCGAACACGGAGATTTCAAGGCCCAATGGCTTGACACCACGAAACAGCAGTATCTCCAATGAGAACGAGACAAGTGGGCCAGAGCTGAAGCAGGAGCCTGGGCAGACCAGAGCAAGGGGAATTCGAGGCAGGCAGTGCAAGCGGAAGGTCGTCACCGGACCGGGCGCTGAAGATGGGCCGTTGGGTTCCGGACCCGAGCCTACAGGACTTCCACCGGCCGGGGCCTCCTGCTGTCGGGTTCCCGCTCCAAAGGACCGTGGCCATCCGGTCCTGAACTCCTTTCCAGAGCCTGCGGACTTCGGTTCCGGCAGGCGAGCTACAGCCGTCGGGCTCCGGGCCCGAGCTGTGCGCCCAGCTGCTTGACTAGGTCGACCCTAGTTCCCGGACGCGTCGCCACCAGCCTGCGTTCTCCCGTCTCCGACGTGTCCACGCTCCTCAAGCCGAAACCATCACGATTTGGTAGGGCTTTTCGACGTGTCGCCAGCAGCCAGCGTTCCCTCGTCCTCGTCCAGCCCACGCAGTGACGCAGGAGTCACGGCGTTCCGGTTTCTCATCACCGCCGAAAACCGACTTGTGGGTGAGACTGCACCGATACTCTTGCGCTACTCCCATCACTCAGCCCCTTTCGAACGTTAGGTTTAGTTACTGACTTTGAACGTTCTTGTTGGGTGTTTACAGATGTGTTTCGTCATGTCCAGTCAACTGTTTATTAAGTGTTTTGTTTTGTGAGGAATCTTTGCCTTTTTACTTTTCAATTAAACTTTTTGTGTGTTTCTTGGAAACCGAACGGCTTTGTCCTTATTAACAAAACTCTCTGAGGCTCAGCCCGGGAGAAAAACAAATCAGCAACAAGAACCCGCATCACAACCCCATAACTACAACAGAATCAATCCAGTACAAGCCCAACGCCAGCCAAGACGTATGAACCTCCCCACCCGGAGATAAGGGTG